ATTTTATTCTATAAATGTCCCAGCAGTGTGAAAATTATCCCCACATTATGTGTAGGGAAACTCATCTGCATGAAGTTGAAGAATGTGCATTTAGCTTGTAATAAGGGGCACATTCTAGAAGCAAACTCAGATAAAATGGCTCCCAAACCCTTGTTTTTTCTTTTAGACCACACTGTCCATGCATCGTGCTTTTCATTCAGGAACATCTACAGTTCTTCTGGTGAAGTGGAAGTTGATATGCATTTTATTTTCTAAACATTGATGTGATTTGTTTAAAATGAAGGTAATATCTTATGAATCATATAATATACATAAGGGGTAACTAATGGGTAAGCATAGATTCTGTTAAGAAGGAAATAAACATCTCAGATATACCTTCATGTTCCTAAAAGGGAATATTTAGTAGAAGTTGGAATATAGCAAGAAGGGAGAAGCCCATGTCAGCACAATGTTACTGGCCATATCCAACACATTCTTCTATTGCATGAAGGTTTCTGCACAGGAAATGTGCGTATTAGGAACTGCCTAATTCATAAGGTTTTCTGACACAGGTACAGTGGTTTCTTTGAACGACTCTAAAGAAAAAGTTGTAAGCATTGTTTTTACACCAGCTCCATGATGTGTATCTCAAGTCAGCCATGTAATTGTTTACACAGTCAACATTCGGAAAATAAGTGTCAACAGATCCCACTCAGAATAACACGTGATCTTTCATTATTATCTTCATGAATCCCTGATTAAGTAAGAAACATTTCATTTAGTGTTTTCCATTCCTAGTTCATTGCTTTCTGAAAAATAACACCCCACCCCTGTTTTATAGCCACTTTTATTGTCCATGCTATGTAACCCTACTACATTAGATACCCTGAAGGAAAGGCCCGCGTCTCATCCACTTGTTTATCACAAAGCGGTTTTTGTTTTGTTTTCTTTTTTGTTCTTGGTTTTGTTTTGTAGGTTTCCTACAACACCAAACATATCCAATAAATCATTTTTAAAATATTCTAATTTCCATTATATCTGGCCAATAACAAACAATCTTTAGATTTCAAATAAAAATTATAGGCAAGGGGCTGGGGATTTAGCACAGCGGCACAGTGCCTGCCTGGTAAATGCAAGGTCTTGAGTTCGGTTCCTGGTACTGGAAACACCCCCCCCCCCAAAAAAAAAATTATAGGCAAGTGATTGTCTCAAAGAACCTTTTCAACCATCTTTTCTAAAGAAAAATTCAAACATATTTAGCTTTTCTTAAAAGCTAACAATAAAAGTTTTTTCATGGTTTTTACTCATATAAGTTATTCACAATTCTAGCTTTACAGGTTATACATGTACCTAGGAAATTATATTATTTATTAAATACTTGTTATGTTTCATGCAATATGTCAACTGCTTAATCCACATATTTCTGTCATTATTCAACCAATGTTAAAGTGAGGGTATTGTTTTGAACCCAGCCATACAAAGCAGGACACTGTGGCTTTGAAAACAAAGAATTGCTTAGTTTGTTCATTTTCCTGACTCAGGGAAATCTTTTATAATCATAGCACTGGGTGAGCAGCAATAGGAATTTCAGTCTAGTTACTGTCAACCTCCAACTTCTATATTTTATCACCTGAACTATACCAAACCCCTAAAGTCAATATCATACTTATCTTCCTTATCAAAATAATTGTAAACTGCTCTCTCCCCATGGAATCTTCTCAATAAAAACATGTGAACAATCCTCCACAATTCCCTCTTTCCTACCTCTAAATAAAGCACATAGGGACTAGGGGTACAGCTCACTGGTAATGCTCATGCTTAGCATATGTGAGACTCTAAGCTCAGTCCCCAGCACAAACAGAAAAACAAACTACACAAAAGTACTGCACAGACTTCATTTCCTACTTGCTACTCAGATTCATTTTTTTCCCATCAGTAACTCTGTTGTTTCTTTATCCGACCTTTTTACTCTCTGTTGTCTGAACTGTTATTGCAGCCTCCTCTCCTGGTGGACCTCCCTGTTTCATGTCTCATCTTCCACAGTGACAGGCACATATCTGCACATGCTCAATAATAGCTGACCTCAGCAAACACTTGTGGAATCTTTCAAGGTTGTGTCTCATCTTCGGGGCATTGTCCATGCTATGGAGCACGGTAACAGACCTCTCAGATCTGGCTATTGCTCACAGTTTTGGCTTCTTGACTCCTCCTGCACATTTACTTGGGTGATTTACAAGGTAGAATTGACTAGGCTTGATATCCAACTGAATGTGAGATCTCAGGAGTAGAAGAGGCTAATAAAATTAGTTGAACATGCAATGTATAGTTATGTACAGATAAATCTTAAGAGTTCAGAAGTTCTTTTAACCAGCTACCTACTAATGTATCATTAATTTTGAAATAACTATGTAATGTTTTAGTTTAACCGACCAATAATAATTCTGTATATATTTAAGGGTGCAGTGTTTTATTTTGATACATATGTACATTGTGGAAAGTTTAAATGAGGCTGATTAACCTATCACCTGAAATACTTACATCTGCTTTTAACCAAGACAATGCAAATTCAATACTTGCACAACCAAGCATGTGATCTCTATTTACAATTCCTGATCCCTCAGTGGACCATATTTAAAAGAGCAACAGCAACATCTACACAGCTGTGAAGGCTGCTGTTATCTATGGCCTTCCTTTGTCTCCAAATTCTTCTTTGGTAACAATTCGTCACCACATTTTTCCAACTTTACATTCTAAGTAATGCTCAGAGCACTTCTGCTCCCTGTCATCTTCTTGATCCCAGCTACCATCTTGTCTTCTCTTATCTGATCTTACAATGCATGTGCTAATACCTGCTTTATTCTGTCTATAAATTGTTCTCTATACTGAAGGCATACTGAATTAGTCAGTTTTCTTGTTGGTGGGGCAAAAAGCAGAAACTTACAACTTATAGGAGGAGAAGTTCTTGTGGCTCACATCTCAGAGAGATTTCTGTTGATGCTTGGCTCGCTCCAAGGTGGAAACATTACAGCAGCAGGGTGAGGTAGAGCCAAGCTGCTCATTTCATGGTAGCTGGGAAGCACAGTACAGGGCAAGAGGCCCAGCAAGAGATATACCTTCCAGGAGCAACCCCCAGTGACCCTCCTCTAGCTGGTCCTCACACCACATTGAGCTGTGAACACCAGTGGCTCAATCCGTGGATGGCTACCTTCATGAAATCAACCAATAACAAATGCTGGAGGGACTGGGGGAGAAAGGAAACCTTCTCCATTGTTGGTGGCACTGTAAACTGATACAACCACTGCAGAGATTCCTCAAAAAGCTAAAAATAGAAATTCCATTTGATGAACTAGTCTCCATCTAGGTATCTTCCAAAAGAGTTACAGACATCAAACCACAGTAATGTATGCATTCCCATGTTTATAGCAGCACAATTCATAATAGCTAAATCATAACAGCTAAAACAGCCTACACCCAACAGGTAAATGGATAAAAAATGTGTACTTTATATACAATGTAGTACTATTCTTCCATAAAGAATGACAGTCTTGAGACA